CATCTCCGTCGTACATTCTCAAAAAGTCAAAAACGTTTATTCTTTATTGGTAATGACATCCAATCGAGATTTTATTGTTGAGGTGATTGATTTGTATGAAAGTTTATCATGTTTATGAAAGTGGTGGACAATGATTACCACGATAGAAATAAAAGAAATTCGATCCTTAACCAGTTGGTCGACGTTTTCAAAAGAAAGGATACAAACGCAATGAGAGATGCGAAAATGCAGAAATCGTAATGTGGTTGCCAACCTTTCATGTAGTGTTGATTTCTCTCATGACTGTCTTTTGTTTTCTAATCAAGGGGGTAACAAGCTGGAGTAAATATAAATAAGACGTTAATCTTTTTTTTTGTAAGGTTTTGGTTGAAATGAAAAAATAGTGTCACGAGGGGATTCGAATCCACGACATTCGGCTAAATACGCCGCTGCGCTAACCACTTGAGCTACCGTGACTTCGATAGTTCGATCCACTCGGGCACCAACTCCCCATCTCAACCTACAACCTTTCTAATTTTCTCTCTTTTTGCAATTTTTTGGCGTCGGAGCGGATCGAAGTCACGATAGCTCAAGTGGTAGAGCAGCGGCGTATTCAGCCGAAGGCCATGGATTCAGATCCCGCTCGTGGCACTAGCTTTTTCATTTCAACCAAAACATTTCAAAAAAGATTAAATAATTGAAAGAAGTAATTTGGTCAATAGAACACTAAATATAATGAATAAATAAGACGTTTCATCCATCCTTAAATAGTTCCTCCAATCAGCGGGTCCAAGGGAAAGTTCTTTCATCAAATTGATATGGGTATTACGGCTTCTGTTCAGGAGCCACTTCTTACACCATTTTCTCTTCGATTTTTTGCTTTTAATATGTAAATAAACAGAAGAGTAGCACAAGAGATCGTCATCCATTTTGAGAAGGTAATTCACTGGTTGACGTTCGGAGCGACTGGCTGTGGAGCGGTCGTGAATACCCCCTCAAATTTCAGGCACTCCAAATGGTACGACTTGGCGCGGTTCCATTTGGAGTGATCGTGAATGGCCACCTTTAAACGAGCAAAAACACTATTACGTGACATTTACGCTTTGCCCAACTGTACACATACTCAAGGTCATCTTAGAGCAAGTTCATTAGGAAAGGTTGAAAACCTGGGTACCGGAATCTTTAGCAATTGTCTACCCTTTCCACACGGCATTCTTCAAGGAAATACCTTAAAACCAATCCTCTTCACAATCTACACTGCTATTAACCACACATTCTAACAAAGAAATCAATGCTTATTCTACATCTGACCCTCCCCTAACGACAGAGGTATTCCAAGAAAATATAAACATCTCACTCGGTTTTTGATCAAATTGAACGTCCGAAACATTATTAATTGCCAAGAAATTAGTTTAAATTTGAAAATGAAGAGAATTGCACAGTAGACCATTCAAGCAAGTGGTACATTGTTTTTTTTATTGTGCGAAAAAATACTCATTGGCTCACTGAATATTTTTGTCCTTATATCAGCAATAAATAAATAATAATAAGGATTCTTTTTTTTAACACAAACAAATGGTATATTTTGAGAAATTTCCAGATTTACGTGCGTCTGGTCTAAGGTCGTAATTGAATGAAGGGTTGGAACTTTCAATCTATCATCATAGATTCCACGTGGCCGCACTGTGATTAGAACCGGTCGGGAAATTAATATCGGCGGATTGTGTGCGGCCAAAGCTGAATCTACACGAGTAGAAAATTTGAATTACAGTGTTGTGGAACAGGCATAATTGATATTTACGAATTAAGAAATACTACGTTGTCAATATTGATCGGGGTTCCGCCAGCTCTTTGGGGTTATTCTATATTTTTGGATTAGAAAACCCGTATAAAATCTTTTTTTTTTGTGTATTGTTACATCAAAAAAAGGTTTAGCGTCAACAGTGTTTATTTATTCAGACAAGATTTGTTTTTGTACAAAAAAATATCGCCCCTTTTGCTGATGAGTATCAGCTCGTCCGACAAGAAAAACAGGACTGTGAAATTAATCGGAGCGGTAGATTTAAAGATTAAACGGACGACTTGTGTTTTATTTTATTCATTAATTCTCTTTTATGGACAACGTTTGAATGCAAAGGCTTCTAGAAACCCGGCGAAGCGGTATAAATCAAGGCATGGCGATATTAAAAAATATTTTCTCTGTAAATATTTTCCGTGTGTAGCCGGCTGAGTCGGGCCGAGATTTAGGTAGCAGTTGAGATTCTCATGATAGCCTGGATTTAAATGGTACGTGAGCTGGATATTTCCAGGGGGCTAACTGTAGTAGGTCCGTCTCTCAGGAATGGGGATTTCAAATTTTATGGAAAGACGTGCTCAGCTGAGGTAGAGTGCTCATAAAGAGTTGAATTATCGGCTCAGTTAACTGATGCTAAAAGTCGGCGATCCTGTCGATCCCAAAATCCCGTGGCAGGAGTCAATTGCAAACTGGTACTTCTTTATTCCTTTGAACCTTCATAAAGGCCTGGATTGGTAAGCCATATAGGACGTTTTTCATTAGAAAAAAGTAAAAAATGCAATTCAATTCCAGAAAAAAATAATGATTTCGCTGTATAAAAATTGACCTAAAGGTACAAAATCGATCCTATTTACAAAAAGTGAAAGGGTTAAATCGGATCGTTCTTGACCCTACCATTTAAGTTAAAAACTTCATAGTGTTTTTACTACATTTAAAATATCGTCGCTTAGATTCGAACTTACCCAACTTTGTGTTAATGAGGGTGTCAATTTTTTATCGCCCTATGCACGGGTCAGAAAATCAAGAGGAGACAGTGGGAATGGAACCCACGACCGAGAGTTCTTCCAGCCGACCCTAAGACACCATAACTCACTACCACGGTCCCCCCAACCCTATATGACCATCTATGTATGATGTGACCTAGCTAGACTGAAGCGGCAAGAGTTTTGTGTTGTTGTTTCACATTGGTCAAAAGGTACCCGGTGCCCAGAAGGATCACTCTAGGTTCTTTCCTGTACACTATTTATAATTTATAAATCCGACGACCTACCGCCAATATACGCGAACACCTCGACCTCGTGGAAGAAAGACGCAAAAAATAAAGATGAAATCGTACAAAAAAAACTACAGCCAAATAATTTTGACCTTAATAAAAACTAAAACTTGGATTAAACACTAACAAGGAATTATCGATATTGATACTAGTGAAATATCTAGGACTTATAGTTGTACAGCAGACTGATGTGACCTAAGCTAGACCGAATCGACAAGACTAGCACAGAAGACATGGACAACTAAGCAGACTACCAGGAACAAATTTAGATGTGAAATTCAACTAACACTACAATACTAGACCTACTAGAACATACAAAGCAAAACTGTCGGGAATCTCGAAGCGATCCGATATCTAACCGATCCAAGCCTTCCAACGTCCTCAGAAGAATTTTCCATCTTGCTTCTTCTCCAACGCCCACCATTCACTAGGCTTTATCCTTTGCCACACCTTAAGTTCCATTCTAAGCTTTCTTCTCACCTTAGCACTTCCATTCCAGGCTTTTCTATTATCTCCCATCCCAGGAATACTCCATAAAATATTATAAACTAACTATATGTCGTAGTGAAGTCTTTCAATTTCTAAATGTGCATAAAAATAAAAAATAGCTATATTGAACTTTGTAAATAATTTCACTAATTTCGTGGTCCGCTTGACCGCTTGGTTTTTAGTTGGTGGGTTCGAATCCCGTTCGTGCCATTGACTTTTTTATCTCAACTATAAAACTTAATTAATTGTAATATATTAATTGGTCAAGCGGACCACGAAATTAGTGAATTTAATGATTTAAAAAGAAGTATACTTCACTAAAGCTCTCCGTGGCCATTTCATTTGTCGCCGAGAATCCTATCCGATTACACTACATTTGAAAAATGGCAAAAGATCCCACCTTTTTGATGGGAAGTTAGTGTCCGAGTGGATCGAGGTCACGATAGCTCAAGTGGTAGAGCAGCGGCGTATCTAGCCGAAGATCGTGGGTTCGAATCCCGCTCGTGCCATTGACTTTTTTATCTCAACTAAAAACCTTAATTATTTTTAAATAATTAATTTTATAAATTTCATTAATTATGATGTTATCACAATGCATCATAGACCTTTAAACCTTTCAATTCCATTGAAAATATTATATTGCTTTCTCCATGTAAAAAATAATTGATAATGTCGGATTTATAGTAATTTAATATTGTGTAAATATGTTTAAATATTAATTTCATTAATTATGATGTTATCACAATGCATCATTGACCTTTAAACCTTTCAATTCCATTGAAAATATTATATTGCTTTCTCCATCTAAAAAATAATTGATAATGCCGGATTTATAGTAATTTAATATTGTGTAAATAAAAAAGGCAAAAATTCATCGAAATTGTCTCTGAAAGAGTGATAGCAACAAGTTCCTAAGGAATATTTCCTGTCTCGAATCCATTCGATCCTGAAAATAGTTGGACTTGAACTTTTGTTTCTACATGAATGGTTTGTTGTTAAGTGGTTTTATATTTTATGACATTTCTTTCCCAGAATGTAAGATAATAACTTTTCAAGTTTTGATGTTCCCGCTTCTAATCCGACCATCTTTTTACTAAATCCTGAAGACAAAAGACCCCTAAAAATATAGTTTGGAAAAAAGAATAAAAAAAGAATAAAAGTGAGCTTCTAGTTTACAACACGCTTAAAAGGCTTTGAATCTCTTTTCGTAGCTGGTTTTTTCAACCCCCTGTCAACCGGTTTCAGGGTGCTGTGAAAACGTTCCGTCCGTTGATCGACGGTGTCGTAGAACACTTGAGGGCTCATACGCGGCAAAACCCGTCCACCTTACAATGGAGCTGCTTTGCATTTGTTTAAAGGAAGGTGCGCTCTGGTGAAAAACCCTTTTGAATATTCATGTCCGCGGGAAAAACCCACAACGACGAGATATCGGAGAAAGATGGGATTTATAATGGAACAACTTACCTAAATTGTCACAGAAGGCCAATAGCACGAAGTTGGCTGCAAGAAGTAGCAAAGTGAGAATCCTCCTCATCATTTCGCGCTTTTACTTTTAGACATCATCCTGAAAATAAAGAAGAATTTCTTTAAATAGAGATAATCTTGTCACCACCTGGTCATATATTTTTTTAGCCAAAATATATATTGTATTTTCAAACTTATTTGTTCATAGTATCAAAGAAAATCTTTGAGGGACTTATTATTATTGTAAATATTACGAGAAATATAAAAGAAATATTTGGGGGAAAATTTATTTTGAAGTTCTGGGGTTTTACCTCGGAATCTTAGTATGTGTAGTGTAAATAAATGTTCCAGATTTAGCTATTAATTGTAAGCGTTTACCGTAAATCTGGATACATTTAAAATTTTAATTTTCAGGAAAGGTGGTAAGCAAGCAGTGTCAGAGCGTTGGAATTGCAAGGATAAGAATATAGATGTAGTAAACAATACAAATATTTTTGGGGTCGATCTGTCGTCCAAATTGCCTTTTATCGATCACATTTTTTTCCATTTATATCAATGATCTGCTCGACTCCATCCAGTCCTGTAATTATCGCCTATATGCCGATGACTCCCAGATATACATATCCTTCCACCCTTCCGATCTTCTTCACTCGGCCACTCTCAAGATCCAAAAAGACCTAAACTCCATCAACGAATGGGCCCATAAAAATTCTCTAGTCCTCAATCCGTCCAAATCCACCGCCATAATTATCGGGTCCAGGCAACTCCTCAATTCCCTCCCCAGCATCCCATCTCTCATGCTAAATAACCATGACCAAATGACCAAAACCTTTCCTGGCATTCTCACATTTCCCAAATTTCCCGCCATTCCATTGCCTGCCTCAGCCTGTTTCGTCGGTCCTGGCTTCTCTTACCTTTCTCCACCCGCAAACTCCTTGTATCTTCCCTTATACTTCCCTTCTTCGATTATAGCTGTTTGGCATACGGTGGTCTCTCGGAGGGGGAGAACGCGCGATTGAAGCGTATTATGAATTATTGCGTAAGATTTGGGGACCCCACGGGGATCCCGGGAGTCGGGGTTGTATTCCCAACTTTCCTGGCTATTCGCCTCCTTCCGTGCACTGTATTTCCTAGGTTGCTTTCTTTTCCAGTCCAGTGCTCGTCGTCCTCCTTACATCATCCAATCCCTCCAATTCAACTCCTCACATCTCACACGTAAGACCCGCTCATCCCCAATCGACCTTATCCTTCCGCAACATACAACCCAAACCATCGAAAGATCCTTTCTGATCCGAGCCCCTAAACTCTGGAACTCCCTTCCCCTTTCTATTCGTCACGCTGCCTCCTTTTCCTCCTTTAAATCCCACCTGTGTAATCACCTCCTTTTCTCCAAGCAGAGATCTCACGTTAACATTTGTTATTTTTGTTTAATATTCTCGTAATTTTTTCTTCTGTCCTGCCTTACTGGTATACATTGTCTATCTTTTTTACTTTTAACTTCATAGAAGGAACTTCCTTTATTTATTTCATGTAAATTAATCTTAGGGGACACCAGTCCCAGAATAAAGTTATTTTTCTTCTTCTTCTTCACATTCAAGTTAAAGCCACACTCGATAAATTAGCAGTAAATAGGGTTTGGAATGATCTGTTCACCCAGGACCTAGTTAAGCTTTTTCAAACTTCAAGGTATTTAATTGCGTTTGTCGTTCCTTCTTGCCTACGCTGCCAGATCTGTGGATTTCAGAGATATGAGATGATCGAAAAAGTTGAGAGAATTATTATTAAAAACCTCTTCTCTCTTCCTGACACACGTATGCTATTGTTAGAAACTGGGATTGACCTACTATACATTTTTACCTTAAAGCTCCCTATTTATTTGTTTAAAATGCTCGAACTTGGGCATCCACTCTCCTATCCAAAATTACAGAAGTTATACACACGATTGTTACCTGTTTTCGAAATAAAACACGTCTGCTTAGGATTATGGTTGTTCTTTTACGTGTACAAATGATATCAAACTCCTCCTAAACCAAATTAGGGAAGTTCATCGAATTGCCTAATGAACGAGGGGAGCCTCCTTGTCCACCCGTTCCTCCTTTATAATACCATTCCCTTTGTTTCTTCAGTCTTCTGAGTTAGCAGGCAACCTTTTACGTCTCTGTGAGCTGCGATGCTTTCTAAACATGCGTTGCTCTTTATGCAACCCCCCAGGTAAAGGAAGATACTTTTCACTTTGTGGCTGAACGCTCAATTTTATCGGAATATCGTCTTCTGTATCTAGATGTCTCCAGTCTATCTCGCTTTTCGTTTGTCTCAGATCCTGTGTTTAAAGAAATTGTAACCCCCTTGCATCTTACATATGGAGTGTGGCACTACCGGTATCAGTTGATTCAGCTATTCAACTGTTAATACTTTTTCAAAAAAGAGCAAAAAGAAAAAAAATTGAAGTTATTAAAGATGAGATGATGGATCGACCTGCTGCTGAACAACTTGGAATAAAGGATCTTCGGTGAGGTCACAACAGAACGACAATTCTTTAAGTTTTTGCATATACATATTGTATTAAAAAAATAAGAAAAATATAATTGTTTTTTAACTTTTTTAAAAATATACAATACGTTCTAACTGCGATATTTTCCTAAAATAAATAGGTCCTGATGATGACGGCAAGCCCGGCAAAAACTTAAAGAATTGTCGTTCTGTTGTGACCTCACCGATGATCCTTTTTTCCTAGTTTTCCAAGTTAAAATAATGTTTTATCTCCCTCTGGCCAAGAAATATTAAGTTTTGTTTATATTCACTTAAACTGTATAATTTCGTTAGAACTCATATGTATATTGCAATATTTTTAATTTCATTTTTGGTTTTATCAATTATTATTGATGACTTATTATAAATATANCTTAAACCTGAAAGAGATCCTATTGATAAGATCTATAGTTTCCTCCACCAGTCGTGAGGTTGACAAATAGTCTTTTTCTAATGCCCTAACACTAGCCTGAGTGTCAAAAAAGATTTTAATATCTTTTCCCTTAATTTTATTTTCCATAAGTGTTCTACAAAACACATTGATAGCCCAGATTTCTGCGTGAAAAACGGAGGTGTTATTGCCAAGAGGGGAGGAGATGCTGATTTCTAATTTTGGTATGTAGATTCCTGCATCACTCCCTCTTCCTTTGATAAGTGATCCATCTGTGTAGCAGTCTTTGTTACGATGGTCATCATCCAGACTATAATTATAATCACAAGGGGTGACTACCTGAAAGTACTTTTTCCCCAAAGGGGTTTTAAACTTTTTATCAATAACGCTTAATAATTGACCGTTAACCTTACTTAATAGTTGTGAGATTTTCGAGTGACCTATGTTTTTGCACTTATGATTCCAGCTGCCCTCGCTAATTAATCTGTAGCAGCTGATTAGTGCTCTGACCTTAGATTACTTATCATTAATCATTCTCATTTAATTTCATACAGACGGATTTTTATCCTTGTCGTACTATACTTTGGTACAATGCTTTTTTTTTAATAAAAGGAAAAATAAATTAAAGTATAATAAAAAAATTAAGCTTTTGTCTTTAGCAGGTCTCATTCAGCGCGCCAAGTTAAAGATTTCATTTCACGGCCTTACAACCGAGTAAAAATGTACAATTAAGAAGGTTTCCTCTACGTCTGAAAAACTTGTATGTAGTGCAATGAAACAATTCTTATTTGTTTTAGAAATGACAGAAATATAATTGTAATAAGAAAAGTTTAATAATTTGACCATCCGCTATCTGTACGGCTTTTTCTATCTAATAGGATAAAGTCGAAAGAAAAAATTGCGAAGGAAAATAGAAGAACGTGAAGGGCCATTCTGAATTTCTCAAGGAGCCATGATGAAGGGATGGTATTGTAGAACATATTTCATAAGTTACGCCCTGATCCGACCACGCCGTCAATCCATCTTCTCGTCCGTTGATTTTTTTTTATTTTTTTATTTTTTTCGTTGGGCCGTCATGTATGTACCATGCCGCTGTCCTGTTTATTATATCAACTCTTTTCCCCCGGCGCGGGCGAATATTTTTTTTAAACCAAAGCGCTAGGATGCCGGAAGGTCTTTATTCAGCCGTATTTTCAGGCACGATATGGGCGGGACATTATACGACATCCAATGAGAAAAACTAAACGAAAAAACAAGGAATCGAAATGAGACGAACGATACCATTTTCTTCCAACTCCAGTGAGATAACATAGTTGTTATTTTACTACTGAGTGTTTGCCTTTATCACAACAACGATATTCTTTCTAGGATTTATTTTAAATATGTTTAAAACAGAAATATTGAGAATTGTTTTGCTGATCTCTCCATGCGTGAAAAAAGTACCATCTATACGTATCAATAATCAACAATCCAAAAATATTACACACCGAACAAAACAAACATAAACGTAACTTTTTAGAAATGGTTTACATCAACAGGATAAACACAGAATCAATTACTGAACAGACACATGTAAACTCAGTCGCAGCTACGCCAATATCATTAATCAAATTCAATACAGGTAACATACATATATCATCACATCACACAAAACATATAATAAAACATATAAAACATTCATCACATTCCACACATCAAACATTTTTACATGTGTGTGGTGATTAGTGACTGTTAGTCGATGATTATTCAGAAATCGTGAGATGCAGTCTGGTGTGATGTAGGTTTCAGAAAAACATTTTCTTTATCATGCCAACGTTTCGATCTTTATTGAGATCATCTTCAGGGCTCAAAGTGTTTGTTTTCTGCGTATGTGTGCCATTCTTGCGTGTCATGTTGACAAACACTTTGCGCCCTGAAGATGATCTCAATAAAGATCGAAACGTTGGCATGATAAAGAAAATGTTTTTCTGAAACCTACATCACACCAGACCGCATCTCACGATTTTTGAACAATTTAGCTTTCCTTTTCCTATTTATCCCCGTCTATATAATCCTGACAGGATAATCTGGCCGAACCATTACCAACGTTTTTTCCCCATCGTCGGCTCTTTTCACCTCCATCAAGCCGACTCCTTATACAAAAATGTCTTTCTATACCGACTTCCTTCCCCACCTCTTTC